GGTTTTTACAGACAGCCGAATTGTCGTCAGAGGTCTCCTCCTCTCCAGAAAGAAGGCTTTGTGATTATAAAAACACAGACACGTGGTATTCTTATTCCCCTAATAATAACAAAATGATCCGTTTTGGTTTTTATTGCATCTCGCTTTTCTCTGTTCAATAATGAAAACTGCAGCTGCCGGGTGTTTCTGATGGGGCTTAAATGAAGTGATGAAGTTTAATGAATAAAAACAGATTGAATTTGATTGTTTAATTAGGCATTTTGAATATATGTACCTCTGATTTGTCTGCATCAGTATCAGAATAAGTTTTCCTAAGTTTGGCATGATTTTGATTTCTCTATTTTTGCTCAGCGGCGGATAAATAAAGAAACAGGACATAAAAACATCCTTTGGTGCAGGAATGTCAATATATTCATCCCTCTCTGACTTTATGAAGCACAGGAAGGCTGATTGCGTGTTGTATTAAATTGATGAGTGGGAGGTTGAGGAGGTGTGTGTGTGTGTGTGTGTGTGTTGCTGCATGGAGGCTCTTCTGCTCTAAAGTGAAGTGGACTCATCATGTCGTCTCAGTCAGGCAGCTTATTACGGTGTTTCTTTCTCGTCATCACAACTGCTGAGAGTGGAGACTGAAAATGAAGCCCGGTGTGTGCAGATGGCAGAGAGTGTGTATTAAGGTCTACTATGAAGTGCGAGACTTGCACACAGGATGCAGAGAAAACACATTCATAAAAACTCGAGTGATAACAACAGTGCGTCACACAGAACTGAAAGTCAAACAGGAACAACATCTTTCTGTCTCTCTCCCCGCCGCAGCTGCAGCTAAAGGTTTTATCTTTTGAATCGTCTGACTTATTTCCATCCGTGCATACTCAAAGATGAACTGATTAGATTTAAAAGATTAGATAGGTCACTGCAGTCCCTACAAAATCAACATTTTGGGGCATATTCAAAGTTGACCTATTATCCTGATCCACATTTTAAAAACTCACAGATCATATCATGTTTACAAATCAAGCCAACGAGAAAGGCGGAAAGAAATCAAGTAAATGATCCAGTAGGACACATCCAGCACTTTGTCGAGCTCCCTCTTTTCATCGTTCCTCGTCCATGCCTACGCGAGCGAGAGAAAGAAAAATAGAATCTGGACATCGTGGTACAAATGTTGCGTCGTGCTGCTTCATAATGCGTCGCTCGCGGGTTGGAAGGACACGCCTTTAGGAAACGATGGAATCAAGCTGACTTTGACGCTAAAACATGCTCGCGTCACACTGTTAGCATGACTTCCTGCATGGTTCACTATCAAGGAGAACAACCAGTTTGTGTAGATTTTGACTTTGTATTTAACACCAAACCGGTACACATACACACAGATCGCTGAAGAACCCCCCCCCACCCCCCCCGATAGAGAAGTGAATGACAAACAATGATAGCGTGGCGTATTCCTGCCTCACACAAAGCACTGGGAGGTCTTTTGTGTGGAGGCGGGCGGGCGGGGAGGAAGCCCGGCGTTCTCTGTGGCTCATCTGTGGCTCATCTGTGGATGTGAGACGCCTCTGTTGTCAGGCAACAGAAACCCCAGTTGGTTGGTTGATTCAGGGGGAAACGATACGATATCTATTCCCAGCACAGCGGGGGGGGGGGGGTGTTAGGTCTTGAGGACTGAGGTCTTGTGGTGTGACCAGTATATTAGCAGTCCCATCCTCGGCCGGGGTTCCCCACAGGAACGCTGGTGACAGAATTTTGAAAAGCTGCATTCCTCTTCTTTGTACAGGGGGTTGTTTCTTTTTATTGATTTAACATGTTCATAGCACTCTATTGTTTCTCTAGTCAATCTGGATATTTTAATGGCAAAGTTTTGGGCAATCTTTTATCGTTAAATCCAGTCATTTTAAACTCAGGCCCCATTTTTATTTTTTCACATATTTTGAGGTCCAAACGAAAGTGAATGAAAAGTTTTTGAATTGATCCAGCAGGCAGCTATGAAAGAGACTACAACGGCTATAACATCTCCATTGGGGGGAAATGTGTGTATTTAAAGGTCACATATTATCCTCCTTTTCAACCAGTTTAATTAAGTCTCAGAGCTCCTCAAAACATGTGTATGAAGTTTCTTGTTCTAAATCCACTCTGATCCTTTATTTGTTCATGTCTATAAACCCCTCTATTTCAGCCCTGCTCAGAACAGGCTGTTTCTGTGTCTGTACCTTTAAATGCAAATGAGTTGTTTCTGACCACGCCCCCTCTCTGGAAAGACTTGGGTGGATCGGGCTTTCTCCGTGCCCTATTGTTTACGGTGAGAAGGCAGACTCAGAGGGCAGAACAAACACCTAGCTGTGGGAGTGTCACCCACCTGGGGGAGGGGTTACTGCCCTTTGTGACGTCATGAAGGGAGAATCTCCAAACGGCCTGTTTGAGCACACATTTTCTGAAAAGTGGAGCAGGCAAAAGACGGAGAGGATGGACTTTTTTTATTAACTGTGGGATTTGTAGACAGATAAGGGACACATGTTTGTGTTTGAAAAAACATGGTCAGATGTATTTTGCATAATATGTGACCTTGTTTGTATTTGTCACCAGAACGCTCAGATCGTTATTCAAAGTAGCTGCATCTCTGCAGAAATGAGTATGAAAGAGTGAGATCAGTTTAAAAAAAACAACTCAGAAGCAGCTGTTACATCACCCTCTTTGAAGCCACCACACTCCATTATTTGACATTACAGGAGTTGCTTGTCTACCTGTGAACGTGAGACAAACTGTTTGAATGACTGAAGTTACAGAAATAAACCAAATGATCCAAGAAACCATAGAGCGGCTACTCCCTGTTTCTGAAAGGTGTGAAAAATGCTTCAGGTAATGAAGTCCTGTGGTCTCAAAGAGAGAGCTGTAATAGCTGTTTCTGTTTTTTGTTTTTTTTTAAAGCATGTGTATTTTAGGGAATCCTTTTTGGCATATTATCAGACTGAAGTGTCAGAGTCTGTCAGTGGCACTAACAAGCACTGTTAGAGTGTGTACACAGATTTCACAGATTTCTCCAAGGATTACATTTGCAGCCATTACAGCCTCCCAGTAGTTAGTGGACAAAGTCGTTTATTTAAACACCTTTTCAAAGGAAAAATGAAAACTAGGCTGTTTCAGGCAGCTGGATGAAACATCTACTGGAGCTAGGGATGTAAAGATTCACTCGACTCACGATACGATTCTCATACAATTTATTTTACAAAATGAGAGTGAAGACAAATGTTGAGATGACTGAAAAAGATTCCTTTAATTTTTTTCTTCATGAAAACAACAATGCACCTCGTAATCTCTTTGGCTCTTGCGCTCGTTTGGGCGAGCGGGGCGGCAAACCCGCTTGTTGGCATGGTTTTGCCTCCGAAGCTGCCATGACAACGCCTGCTTGTTACAACCAACCGCCTCGGCTCTACAGCTGCTGACGCTCACGATAATTACTGCGTTTCATTTTTCAGAGTACCGAAGTGAACCTTGACACCTTTTGAGTTGATTTTTAACTGCCTCACGATTAATCTTTACTTCCCTTTCTGGAGCAACAACTAAACTTGATGACGGTTTTAAACATTGTATTGGGGGGAGATAGGGGTTCCTGACCGTTCTGTTTTGTGTACATCGGCCTCTATGTGTGCCCCCCTCTGCTGTCCTTCAGTCTAAATAAAGAGGAAGCAGAATGTAGCGTCTGCCTCTTACAGTGAGGCAACCCTCACTCCTTACGATCACACAACGAGGCTCTGTGCAGAGAAACTGCTGCTGCAAAATCAGCATCATCACATTCATGCATTAAATGTATCCTGGAATCAGTGCGCCTGAATGATAGGTCGTTTATTTGTCTTAAAGGAATGCTGCACACTTTATTCTGCAAACCTGTTTTTTATTTTGATCTGACAATCGCAGCTTTAAGAGCACTTCCTTCCTTCCTTCCTTCCTTGAAACTGAAAAGGCAAAGTGGAGAGCGTCCTTTTGGAGTGCTTCATCAAGCAGTCAATGACGTGAAAACATCTCCAGCATTACTTTAACGCTGTGACTGAAGCTGCTGTTGACTTTCTGCGTCGCTGCTGTCGTTAAAATCCAGGCTCTCGTGGTCGTATTTTTATCTCCACGGGCAAATAAAGTCCTGTTGATCTTTTTATTTTTATCGCTTCCCACTCTGTTGGCACAGTGACTCACACGGGAGAGTGCGCTGTGTTGTTTTAATGAATTACCAATCAGAAGATAAGGGATAGATTTCTGGCTTCTAAACATTGTGAACATGGTAATTATTAGAGCTGTTTATTTTAAGTCATCTAGAAGAATGGAGCTGCAGCGACAGCAGAAATAACCTCAGCTCAAAGAAGAGAAACAATCTGAACACAGAGGTTAAAGAGGTCAAAGGCTTTCTTTGAAGCTTTTTGTGCTTTTATTGTATAGACAGTAGAGTGGATAGAGTCATAAATCAGGCAGAGAGAGAGAGAGAGAGTGGGGGATGACATGTGGTAAAGGAGCCTCAGGTTTAGAGTCTCGATGGTTAAAAGTAAAAGAAAAAAAAAGTTTTTGAATTGCTCGTGTAGATTCCTTCGGCCTGCAGCTGAGAAACAGGCCGTGGTGACTGTAATGTAATGCTTGTAGGCAAACATACCGAAACCAAATCATGCCAGGCTCTGATTATTATTGTAAAGGTTAGAAGGTGACATTACAGAAAGGATCCCTACAGACACAGACCTTTTTTTATCAACTTGTTCTAAACAGTCTCTTTCTTCACAGCTGGTGTCAGACCTTTGATAACCACTGGATAGATGACGATATACAGATTCATAAGATGGAAAAGAAAACGTTCAATTTCAAATTAGACTAGAAAAAGTGTGTGCTACATGTCAACCCCCTGACACCAATAAAATACACTTTTTCTTGTAAATGACGGTGGCTGAAGATGGTTTTTTTTTTTTTTTTGTGAGAGACTTTTTCTGTCTATCTAATGTTAATCAAGAGCGATGTCTGTTGTGACCTGACAGTGCCGGTCCTAAAGGAGACAACATCTATGAGTGGAGGTCGACCATCCTGGGCCCTCCAGGCTCCGTGTACGAGGGAGGGGTCTTCTTCCTGGACATCGCCTTCACACCAGACTACCCCTTCAAACCCCCCAAGGTGAGGTCTGCACAGCTGTTAACCCCCCCCCCCCCTCAGTCTTTCTGTAAACCATGGCACTAATACAGGAGCTCCTTTTTCAAGAAGATGCTGCTGTTCATGTTTATCCACTAGAGGGCGCCTTTGCACTTTGTAATGCAGCACATACCTCCTAGCTGAAATGTTAGAGCCTCATACATATAGATATATTTTTTCTTCGTCTTTGTTTTGTGTGTGTGTGTTCAGGTGACGTTTCGCACGAGGATCTACCACTGTAACATCAACAGCCAGGGGGTGATCTGTCTGGACATCCTGAAGGACAACTGGAGTCCTGCTCTCACCATCTCCAAGGTCCTGCTGTCCATCTGCTCCCTGCTCACTGACTGCAACCCTGGTGAGAGCTGCAGCACACACACACACACACACACACACACACACACACACACACACACACACACACACACACACACACACACACACACACACACACACACACACACACACACACACACACACACAGGGCTTTCCTGATATTTGCAGGAGGAGCTGTACGTGTGAACGCAAAAAGGGAACTATTTCTAAAGCCTGGAGTGTTGAGGAATATGTTGTATGTGTCTCCACATCTGGACTACTGGTAGTTTCCGATTAAAGTCGGACTTTTCTGTTACTTTTGGGACCAACTCAACTTTTCAACACTTGAAAATATTTTACAGGTCTTTAATTTTGAAGGTGTTTCAGTTTCTATTCATATAGATAAAACGTAACATCTCTGCAATGCAGCGCTGCAGAAACATTTCTATCGCAGAGTCCTCGGGGACTTAAATAACAACCAATAAATGTTAAATATAGTTCTCTAAAAGCAAAGCTTACAGGGTTTGTTTAAGCTCCTATGTAGTGCGGTTAATTCTTTCTTGCCCTTTAATGTCTCCTGGGCAGTAACCCCTCTCAGACCTCTGCTGTTAGAGGAGAGGATACAGAGCTCTGATACAGGCAGCCCCTCATGAATTATACGACTTCACTTAGAGGATTTTGAGGTTGAGTTCATTAAATCTACTCCTGCCGTCTGCTCGTATTACACCGCCTTATAGCCTTATATCTGCAGATTAAGCCCCTCCCACTTTTTCTAAATCCAGATTGAAGACAGAAGGTGGGAAGGTGTTTGTGTTCAGGCTGTCGGAGGAACACCCTTCAGAGAACATAAATATTTCATTCTTACAGGAAATGAATGTAGCATTGTGGTTTATTGGCATAGAAGCATGACAACAAGGTTTTTTAATTAGGGAGGGGAAGTCATCGTCTTCTTTATGGTGAAGGTTTCTTTTGTTTTTACTGTACTGTCACAGATCTCCTCACCCTCGCAATATATTTAACAGCTTCTGAACACTTAAAGCGCCACACCAGTCCCATCCCTGTGTTATAGCTGCAGTCGGCAACAGTGGCAATGCACTAACTTCTTTTGAGCAGGCAGAAACCTCGAGCAGAATCAAACTCAATAGTTTACAGCCAACTGGCTTCGACCGGCTGGCTGGGCAGGGAAAAGTGTGGTGGAGGGAGAGAGAAATGGAGACAGAGCGACAGGGACAAAAATAACAACAGATAAAGCCAGGGATCTACTTTCTTGTGTTAAGTTAAGAAAACACTCAGAAAACAGTCCAAATTAAGCACAATGAGTTCTACACGGCTAAAAGTATGATCACAACATCAGCAGGTAAACAGTGACAAAATTGTTTTGATGGGGCTAACATTAGCTTAGCAGTGCTAGCACCCCCTGCATTAGGCCCTCCCTGCAGGTTGACGTCTACATGCCTGTGTTGAAACTGGTTGCATATTGCAATGGCGAGTGGTTATATGCCACGTTTAACCTGACACAGCCTGTACTACCCGTACTTTATTTCTTTTTTCTAAAACAAAATACAGCCATACCGTTCTATGCTGGTTTAAATCCCGGTAGTAGAGCATTATGGCAGTAGCCATCAACAGGAGCTAGAGCTCCGCCTGGTGAAGGCAGGCAGGCGGCTGAGACTCAACATTTGACTGCCACTGGGGTTCTAGATCCATGAGAGAGTATATATCAGTTTAACCTTCTAGTTATTCTGTTGTCGGCTAACAAAGGTCACACCTAAAATTGTATTGATGTTCAGTTTTCAGAGCTGCTGTCAGAGGAAGAAAAGTAACATCCAGGAACACCTTTAAAAGTGTAAAGAAACAAACGTACAGTAACGCTGATGTTTTACGTGTTTCTGTGTGTGTGTTTCAGCTGACCCTCTGGTTGGAAGCATCGCCACACAGTACACAACAAACAGACCCGAACACGACAGGATAGCCAAACAGTGGACCAAACGCTACGCTACATAATCACCTGAGGAGGAGCTGCTGCTGCTGGTTGGGCGACCGGAGGATGTGGGCGAGGGGTTAATTCGGGGAAGGGGCGTGACTCTCAGAGGGAAGAGTGAGGTGATGGGGGGGAAGGGGGGGGGGGGGGAGGGGTTAGGTAGAGGGGCGGGGGGATTTTTATCTGGGAATTGAAGAAGTCTTAACTCCTGACATTTTTGTTGTTTATTGTATTTTTTAAGTTATCTGCGGCCCAACTATAATCAAACCTGGCAATAATGCATTTTGTGTTTTCTCTTTGAAGTTTTAGCTTGTGCTTGAAGATGGACATTACTACTAAACTGCTAGATGAAAACGTGTCACAGCATGATGCCCAGTCGGTGTAAATTCTCACATGTATCGGTTGCAGTTGGTGTTTGCTTCCCCCTCCAGACTCCCGCTCTTTGAAAAAGCTGTAGACATGTTTAGATATGGATGGATATTGGTTGTGATTTGTGTTCTGTACTGATGAAAAGCTGTTTCTGTTTCTCCCTTAAGAATAAAACATGACCAACTGAAGCACCCGGCTCTTGTTTGATCACCTGTTTAAATGTCTGGGATCATCTTCAGGAGAACAAAGGGACGTTTTCACCACGTTAAATATGAAGAGGCTACATTTTTATTCAGTGCATCTTAAGACGGCGTTACAGAGCAGAGAGAATTATTGAGGGTTAGCATGTCAAGAGAGTGCTTCCACTATCTCTGTTCTACTAGCAGCAAATTAAAAGGGTTATTCTGGTATGTTTTTTTTAAACCGGAGCCCTGTTTTTAGAGGTGTACATGAACGCAGAAAACGTTTCAGTAGATCACATCACCTGGCAGCCACGGCGTGGGATGTAATGGCTGCAATGTAATCCATGGAGGTGAAAGTGTCCAGTCAAAGTACGTCCACTGAAAGCTCCTGTTTTTGTCGCCGACGGGCTCAGAGTGTAATTTTAAGTGTCTGAAAACAATACAGAAAGAATCCAGAGATGCATCTTTTTGTCAAAGGTTAGGATGCTTTTGTGTGATACCAGAGAAAACCTCGACACAGAACTCTTCAACACCTCCAGCCTCCAGTGACAAAAACACTACTTTTACCTTGCAGAAGAAAAGAAAGGAGTTGCTTGTCTACTGCTGCCTGTATTTGGCAGTTTCTTTGGTGTTTTAAATTGTTTTGTCACAATGGCACAAAGACATGAAAGACTCCTAAAGGACTAACTAAAAAAACGAGTGTAACAGGCATGCAACTCCTGTGTCCTGCAAGATAAAGTTGGTGTTTTTGTGACTAAAGCTTGGTGACTTTGAGATGTATGTACAGTAAAGGTTGTTTCTGGCATCTTACTCTTTAATCAAAAGGGTCTACCTCTGTAGGGATCCTCTTTGTAATGTCTACAGACACTAAGAATATCAGTAAGAGCCTGTCAGTGACCAAAACAAGCCCTGTCTGTGGATGTAATTTGATCAGGCATCGTTTGTCCCCGTGGATTACACTGCACACATTAAAGCCTGCTGCGCGGCTCCCTGCTGGAGCAAATTACTGAAACAACTTCTAAAACGTTTTCTACCTCCATTTAGACCCTACAACATGTAAAAGGGGGCACAGGCTTTAAAAAAAACAAAAAACAAGAATACCCTTTGGATGTTATTACTTTGACACATTGAGGACACATGAAACAGCACAGATCATCCTCCACGTCGACTCACCATTTTCACAAGTCAAGGAATGTGGCTCAATAAAGTGACAAAAATAAATTAGTTAAAAAATAAATATTTCCTCTTAACGCTGACATTTCTACTGTTAGTAAAAGCTAACACACACACACACACACACATGGCTTCATCTAGTAGCCCTATAAGATATCACAGGCTGGACCACACAAAAGTGCAACTAATGCAAGAGTGACAAAACAGAAAGGTTACATCACATCGAAGGCAGTACCATGAGTATTATTGCTGCCAGGCCATTCTTAATGCATGAGATGGACTGGACGAAGGCTAGCCGAGGAATCATGCTGCATTCACATCAAATGGGAAACAGCATTACAGGTATGTGATTCTTGTTTTAAAAGCATGAAAAGGTCACGTCCCAACACAGATCTTACGCAAGATAGATATGAAGTCCACAAAAACAAACATCAGTGTTAATAACAGGCTTCAACAGTCTGAACTTGACTCATTGAAAGGGACCTTTAAAACCTAGACTCTATTTGTACATGTGTTGGGGTTTAAATGATTAACATTTGCAGAAAGTTAGGAATTGCTCCCAGCGTATTCTGCAGCTGGCAGCCATATGATGGCGAGGTAATCCTTGTCTGCAAATACCCCCGCTCAAAGTATGTCCACTAAAAGTTCATGTGTTTGCCAGCGACAGACTCAAATTGTTGTTTGTTAGTGTCTGAGAACGTTACAGAGGTGATTCCTGCAAAGATAGACCTTCTTCTGTTCAGTAAGGTCCCTTTGATTTGACCTGAAACAGACACTGAAACACTCGGTCCAAAGCAGCCAGACCTCATTGACAAAAAGACTCACTCGACCTCGCAGAACACTGGAGTTGTTGCTCTACCGCTGACTCCGTCGCTAAGTTTAATTGTGTTTTTGGTGTTATTCAAGTATTGTGTCGGAGCCAAGACCAACTCATTTTACAACATTTTTGTAACACACAAAAACACAAACTAACTAACCGACCAAGGCGACAGTAGACAAACAACTCCTGTGTTCTGCAGGGTAAAATGACTGGTTTTCTCAATGGAGTCTGGTGGCTTTAAAGATGGCAACATACTAGCTGTTTCTGGGTTCTTACTCATCATCAAGTAGCATTTCTTTGTAGGGATCCTTTCTGTAATGTAGTCAGACACTTAGAATAACAACCTGAGCCTGTCAGAGACAAAAACAAGAACTTTTACTGGACGTCCTCTGACCAGGTGCAATATTGCCTACATGGATTACATTGCACATACGTCAGTTTTCATGGTTGCTGGCTAGAACAATCTGCTCAATTCCAAATATGTATGTGCCTACGAGCCATTTACACCTAAATATGTGAAAATAGGGCGGAGGTTTTTAAAAATCATTTGTATGTTAACGGGGACTAATCACTCTTTTACTATGGATAAGGGCCTGCGAGTGTTAAAGTGTAAGACAGAAATTGTTTAACTTGGAATGGTAAACATATGACCCTAAACACAACAGGTTATTTCACAATTCACAAGTTAAGTCTGCAGCATCTTTGTTTGGATTAGTGTCACATCTTTGGTATATAAGGGTTCCATGTGTTCATTTGTAAGATGTATTTGTTTGTTTCCTTAAAGGGGATGTATTGCATTTGAACAAAAAATAAAGTTGAAGCACTCTTTGTACGTGTGAGATAAAGATATCAAGTCTGTGTGTGAAGTATAGAACTGGAGTCAGGACGCGGTTAGCCTAGCTTAGCATACACACGGGAGGAAGAAGAATCCCCTTACTTTTTCCGATGTCCGACATTCAAAAATACGGGGAAAAAAATCCCCACAATGTTCAAAGCTACAAACTAAACATTTTGCAATAAACAGAAATGTAAAAAGGACTGTCCATGTTTTTTTTCTTCTTCTATCTGCCATCCTCTTGTGTACAGCGATGGCACATGTTGTGAAGACAGAGTTAGCGAGCACAAGTTTTAGTTTCGGTCGCTGTCCAGACATGAGAGTACCAAAACTGACTACTTCAGACGCTAGGCAGAGAAATAGTTCGGACACATTCCCTCTAAAATCAACTTTTTTTTTGTGTTTCTTTCTTCTTGACACGACTTCCAGGAGACTTGTCACCACGGCGAGGTTGTCAGGTTTGGTGCAGTCATGCCTGTACAGAGAACAAGAAGAACACCTGTGCTCGCTGACTGTATCATCAGGCGGCCTGCACTTTAGACAGAGACATTAAACACTAGTGCTGGACAGATGGACAAGCTGTTAGTCAAGAAGATGTCATGGCACACAACATCCCCTAAAATATAACAACGAAAGTGGTATAGATTTGTGTTTCTCTGCACATTTAACCATTGTAATACATGAAATTTGGTTGGCATCATTTTTCTCTTTGGTACCAGGCTAACCGTTTCCTTCTTCTTTCAGTTTATCTAGGAGCTAAGCTAACAAGCTAGCCCTGACCTCATCTCCGTGTTTAATATATAGACATGATGTCAATATCGCCATCCCACTCTCTGTAGAAAGGAGAAAACAAAACGTATCTCATATTGTTTGACTAACCGTACTTATGAGTGTAAATGGTGAAATTTGCACAAACTCAACAAGTCATGCTTCATATCGACCTACTGGTTATTCCCACATGAGGTGAATGCAGCCTGCTGACAGAAGCAGAGAGAAGTGGGAGTGGGGGTGGGGTTGGGGGGGGGGGGGTAGGCGAGGTCTTCAGAGCTTCAGATGTCGTTTGAGGGCGTGCCTTTGCTTTTGCGTCCCGGCAGAGGGAAGGAAGACTTGCTCTGAGGCTGCGTGAGGCGGCTGGTCAGCTGGGTGAACGGTTCGATGAGGCTGTTTCGTTCCGTGACGCTCACCTCCCACAGCTTCACCTTCTCTCCTCGAGCCCACTGCTGCGCCGCCTCCTGGTCCACCTGACGGCGCTCCCGCAGGTCCGTCTTGTTCCCAAGCACTATAACCGTCACCTGAGGACAGAGAAACAAAGCCTGAACCAAATCCTATTCACGTTTGTTTACAAGATTTAAGAGAGGAAATGATCCGACTGACAATATGGAGAACACATCAATATGAATGATTTATATTTAATACTGCCTTGCTTTCTAGCCAGTATATCATCCTGTACTGGTTTCTCCAAAATAATGTTTTAAAATGAATTTGTTGACTGCTTCAAAATACAAAAACCCCAAACTGAAATTCTCAGCCTCACACTACTTTAAAGGCTCCTGAAAAATCGTCCGTATTAAAGTGCAGTCACTAAAGAAAAGTTTAGGTTGGGAGTGAAGTTTTCATTTTACAGAAACTGTCAAAGCTAAAAACAGCAGGTACCGCCTTTCTGCTAAGCTAGGCTAGATAGCAGGTCGAGGCCTGCACAGTACGAGAAGAATAAGTGATTTTGTTTGTAAAATGTTCAATACTGCAATAATGATAGGGAGTGCAAT